ACTTCTTCGTCTGCCACTCTGCCTTCTCGGACTTCTTGGGCTGTGGAGAACAACACAATTGCCTAGTCAACTATCGCTACTACTGGGGCTCGGGGTGGGGTCTATATACGTATACCAAAAAAAAAGAGAAAAGAAGAAAAAACGATCAAAAAATACGAGTCCCTCCAAGGAGATCCGAAGGAATTTCGTTTTCCTGGACAACGATCATTCCTATGTTTCTCTTATTGTGTCTCGAGCAGATTTTGCTGACTGATGACTCGTAGCAGATTCGTTTCTTAGAAACCTACTGCGATTTTTGCAGCTTCGGCGATACGAAGTTGCGATTCGGCGATCGTGTACAGCGATCAGAGGTGATCACTGTTGTTAGGGGATGACGAAGGTCTGATTATGTTGCTCGAGAACCAATTTCGAATGATCTGAAGGTGTAACCTACAATTGACACGAGGATGAACGTGTCCGCGTGATCTCCATAAAGGGACGCCGACCAATCGTCGCACAAAATAACTACTGATACAAGGTGAAAAAACCTGCCGTTCGGGTTTTTTGTACACGGAAAGAAAACCAGAGCCACAAAAACTGTCTTTCTCAATGGCTGGAAAAAAAACATGAGTACAGGCCCGCCCGTCGCACGGCGGAAAAATTCAAAACGTCTGACCTAAAAATTCTTTGTCTCCTCGACCCACGAAAATGCAAGAATTCCACTCTTTCTCGTAAATCAGAGATCAGACCTTCAACTTAAGACGAGATTAAAAGTCATTTTAATGATTAAACTAATATTTCCTTCGAATTGAACGCAAATTCTTCAGTACCAATTTTGAAGACAGAAGACGATACATAAATTCCTCGGAATTTGGTAGAGGAAAAATGTTTCTTAGCTTTTCAAAAGTGAATCGTAAAGTCTTGCGTTTTCGCGAATCCAATCCAGTGGACGGAACAATCCGTCCCAGGGCCCAAAAACGAAAAACGGACCCAGCCATGGACGAGTGGGTGTTGGGGGGCCAAAAAGTGATGTCTACGTGAAAAATAAACGAGCAACGATTGCTCTTATCGAAAACGATCGTCCTTACCTCCTTGTCCTCCTCTTCAAGGGTGAACTCCTTCTTCTTCACCTGTTTCAGCTGGTTACGGAAGTTGAACTCAGCTGCTTTCTTCTGCAGCTTGGCGAACTTGTTCTCGTACTTGGAGACTTTCTTCAGCGTGGGCTTCATGCTGCGAATGTCAACAGATCGTTATCACCGTGCCTCATTCACCGTGATTTTAACAAAAATAACTGAAGAGCATTTGCAGAAAAGGATTTAAATGTCAACATCAAATTTTTCAAGAGACAGATACTCGCTTAACGTTACGCAGAACGTCATTAATATAATTTTTCCTAAAAAATACCCTAAAAATCATTTTGGATATTTTCTATAATCTAGTCATAAGGATATCATCGTTCAATATGATCAACATTATGGATGACCGCTACTATCGATAACTATTTGAAAAGGAATATCGCACTTGAATTCTATACTACAGAACAAGAATAAAAAAAGTACATTCCCCAATTTTTGCGCTAGCAGTGTCCTCTACAAGAGCTCTTCAATCGATCAAACCGAAGATCAACAATTCGATAAATGGTAAACTAGCAAGATCCGAAAGGTTTACTTACAATTTACCTCGGAGGTCGTTCACCTGGCTGTTCAAGTCCGCGATCTGCAGGCAGCGATCGAAATTTCCATTAGTGTTACGCCCCGATCAATCTATAAGCGGTTCTAATCATGCTTGAACTTTCCAGCGAATTTTCATCGCGGAAAGCTGGTCGGAGGAGCTGGGGGGCGGGGAAAAATAGGGGACGAAGGGATAGAGGGTATAAGGTTGCACCGTCGAAACTCCGTCCATTGGAAACTCTTGACGGTTATCTACGGCGGGCGCTTTTAAATTGGATTAATCCGATCGCCGGGACAGCTCGCGACTTAATCGGGGTTCCAACTGGACCGGAAGTTTCCACGGTGGCTAGACGTGGCTGGAGAAGAGGGTCGTGCTCGCGCGTAGATAGCGTTCGCTCGTCATCCTCCGAGGATTATCGCGCGAGCACGCCGCGAAACGTCGAAACGCGGACGGCGCGTCGACGTTTCCTTTAATCACGACGGA